AGGAATCACGGGACAGGAGGGCAGGAATATGATGGGAAGGGGGACTAATGCTATGGCACTAAACCATGAGAAGGAAGATCTGGATGATTGTCTTTTCCCTATGGGACATTTTGGCATATTTCACCAGCCATTATCTTGGGATGTACATGATACAGGTTGCAATTTCCTCAAGCAAAGAGAATCAAAATCATTGTGGATTACGCTTGCAAGGACTGAATGACAAAAAGCTAACAAATTTCAGAAGCCAGATTGCTCCCTTGCCATCCCCAGATCCATTAAGTTAGATGAGACAAATGAGGTTTTATTTTTTTTCATACAATATAGTCCTTGGTGCACACAGTTAAACTCAGTATCTCTGTTAATACTAGAAGGCTCAGATATTTTGATAAAATAGTGCAGTCTGCAAAGCTACATACATGAAATGGTACAGAGCAGCTCCTCATGATTCCATCTATGATATATTTACATACTGTTGTGTGAATAATTCATTATTGCTTTTACAATAAATATGTTAAAAAATGCTCTGTGCCTACCTTATCGCCTTTGATTGGTTGCCCTGGCATCCCAGGTGGCCCATCAGCACCTGCGGACCCTTTTTCACCCTAGAAACATGTGACAGTTGTATAACTCTATTTAGGATCTTATAAAGGAAACCATCCTGGTTCCTGTGGTGACAAAATAGTCACCACAATGAGGAGGAAAAAAAGTATTCATCCACAAACAAACAAGATAATGAATGGAAGAATTATTATTAGTATGGCTACGAAAATTAGAATTTTATTTACATTGTTATTAGAGAAATTAGAACTATTATAATTAGGAAAAGAAATTCAATTGCAATTCATTAACATACTACATCTGCATTTATTGTGTTGTTGAAAAAATAAAGGAGATAAAGTAGAAAATGAAATAGTAAGAAGTAGGAAGCTACATTCTGAAAATGCGATAATTTGTTCATTATGAAGGCTGAAGCACCAGTACAGAACTTCGTGGAGCAAAGGCATGACTAGTATCTTTTCTATAAAAGGAAGAAAAATATCTTTGCTTAGTAGTTCAAACCTCTAGAGAACCTTGAAAGCCCTAAATAAGAGGGTTATGTTTTGATAGAAAGCCCACTTGTGATTTAATCACAAATGTTTGCTTCTCTGTGTTTATTAAAAAAAAAAAAGTTCTCAAATATTAACCCAATGATAGCAGTGATAGGTATTAAAGATGGAACGGTCCATAGAGACTCATACAATTCATACTTTAGGTTCCCAGAAATGGCAAGGCGGAATGAAAAAGTTTCTTGCATACTTTCCTCCAATACAGAATATAAATAGCTAAATAGTTTTTCAGAACACAGCTTTATGCAATGTTACAAAAATATGATATCCTAGTAAATACAGAAATAAGAATTGCATTAACTTCTTACTGTCAAAGATTGTACAACTTTTTGATAATTAATTTGATAGAATTCTTCAACTGGGAGGAATTTTCAGAAAACACAGTAATTCAGAAGACAAAAATCCACTGGTTAAAATTTTGTACCAGCAAAATGATCTTAAATAACATAGTCGCAACTGCAAATTTGTCCCACGAAGTTCAAAACAAAATAAAACAAAACAAAAAAGCAATTATTGTGAAAGTACCTTCTGGCCTTGAATGCCTTCTCCTGGTAGCCCTCTCTCACCTGGCAGACCATCAGGGCCAGGTAGTCCCTGTAAGATAATGAAAACTTCATCTGACTATAACATCAAATTCATTTCTTACCGACATTTTGCCCAACATCCTAGCATAGCTACTTGCATCCCTCATGGCACTGATAATTGCAGTAGACAACACTTCGACAACAGCTGGCTGAATTTAGGTAATTAAAAAAAAAGTGCATCAACCTTAATTGAAGGATTAAGATTAGAAAAAGCTAATGCCGAAATAGTTAGAATAACCATGGAATCAGAATGCTTAAGGTTGGCAGGGACCTCTAGAGACCATCTAATCCAACCTCCCTGTACACGCAGGGTCACCTCGAGCACAGGACTATAATATAATTAATGCCTAAAGATTGCATCCTTAAAACCAAAATGAGACTCTGAATTAGATTAAATAAATACTTTTACTGCTGTGAATTTTACTTCCTATAATCTCAGGTACCTCAAATCTTTAAACCTATTACTTTGAACATATTTTTATAGCATAACTCAGAATTCATGGGCACTGTATAATAACATGTAGCTTTTTGGAATGGAAGAAATGGTGAAACTATTTTTTTAAATGGCTAAACATGAAAAATTAGCTAATGTCAATTTGGCTTCAATAAATATTTGCAATGCCTTACGTTCTTTCACAGAATTCAGCTATCCTTTGCTACAAATTAAAAACACTGTTTCCGAGAAAGCTTTCAGAGGAGCTGATTCTGATATCGCTGTTTATGAAAACTAGAAAAAACAAACAGACAAACAAAAACTTTTTGAAGATAACCTACTTTAATTCAATATATAAAGATATAATTAAGACCATAAAGAAAAGGTATGTTGGCAAATTTGGATTTCTGTTTCTCATGCAATTAAAATTACAGAGAGATTTGGGAGAATAGCTAGGCCTGCTATCTGCCTAAAATTTGTTTTTGACCATTTTTAAGAGATGTCCTTAACTCAAGTAACTACTGCTACACTTATTATTAAACAACTTCATGTCTGTTTGCAAACTGGATACTGCAGTCTTTCTCACATGGATTAATCACGGATCAAGTAAATTCCTCCTCCCCCTGCCCCCTAAAAAAAAAAGTTTGTAAATGGTTTTATTCCCTTAGTCTGATCGGCCACATGCAATTAGTACTGCAATACTGGATGCACATATCCAATATGCACTATGACGCCACATCCAAACATTTCTGCAGCTTCAGATTAGATACTGGGTTGTTCGTGGAATCAGAAGTCACTATAGCTGCTGTCAATAAATTGGGATCACTAAGATTTATTTTATGATTTCTACTTCCAACATATGTATCACTGACTTACTGGTAATCCTGGCTCACCAATTCCAGGGGGTCCTGGGAGTCCAATTTTTCCTTCTTGGCCTTGAGCCCCCTGGTGAAAAAAAAAAGTAGAAATTTCAGTCCTAATTCAACGTGATGCTTTTGGAAATATTTATATACAGATGAGTGAATCATGTTGCCAAACAAATCTGAAATGAAACATGCAACATCTCTTGATGTAAAACAAACCAAAATGATAATTCAGAAACTTTCCAAGGTAACTTTGAACTATATCTTTGCATTGAGACAGCTGCTTAGAGCAGAGACCCTGAAAGGTGAAAAGGAGGAGGAATATCAGGCTAAAATTGGTTGCAATACAAATCAAACATGAAATACAAATGTCCAGTTATGAAGGATCCTCCCCACAGCCTCAGTCTAGGAACTCAAATTGTATTCAAGCCTGCTTCAGTAGAACACCCAGTTGCAGGAGAACACCAAGTACTACTGTTTTTGTCTCCTACTTGCAAGGTGTTAAAATCTTCAGAATTATTCCAGGGTACAGAGGATTATGTGCTTCAAGAATAAGAGTATAGAACAGTTTTACCTCTCCTCACGGTAGCACAGAAACCGTATTGAGGAGTGAAATTCCTCCTCCATAAACAAACTCTAAAAACTCACTAGCCAGACTGATTTGGGTGAGATCTCGTTCTGCTTAACTTGGGTCTCTTATTTGAGCCTAAGCTGTAGGTTTCTAACAAAGATCTCTTAAACTAAGTAGTTATCATTCCTGTACGACTTTGAAGACCCCCCCAGGGAAGATTTGGCTGGCCAACATAGGTAGCCATGACTTCTCCAAATTAGCAAGACTTCATTTCACCTTGAAATCTGTCCCTTGGTGAAGAAATAAGAAGGCAAATTTGTTACTTGATTGTATATCATAGTGACTCAGATCTATTGCTATGCCTGTAAGTATCTTTACTCATTAGTGCTTGAAAGACATCTCACAAATTTTATCCTAATTTAAATGACATTATTTCTGATTTCTAATGTTCCTTCATAATCAAGATTTGGAGTTGCTGTAAAGAACAGGTCTATTTTCTCCATCCCATGCAATTCACAAACTCAACAATACCATCATTTTACATTTGGGTTATAGGAGTTTGGTGAAACAACAAGCAAGAATGTTCACTAAAAAAAAAAAAAAAGAGATTGCACAGAGTTAGCATGTTCACAGATATATTCCTGAGGGTTACCTTGGGTCCTGGATCTCCAACCCCAGGGAGTCCGGGGGGACCGTAGGGACCTATAGGACCCTGTTCACCCTAAAGGAAAAAAAGATAGTAAGAAAAACAATTAAGTGCAAATGAAACATTAATCAAATTCCACCTGGGCCCATGGTGTCATTTAGGGCTATAGAAATGTGCATTTACAGCAAAAAACAAACAAACAAGCTGACAAGGTTAAATGTTTAGATTAAAAGCAGGGTCAATAACCTTGTCATACAAGTCGCTGGGATAGGTAATAACCTTACAAAGCTGTAAAGCTTTATAAGCATCAGGAAGATCAAAACATGCTTGTTATCTTTCGTCCTGACTTTCGGTATATATATGTATATGGTATATATATAAATACTGAAAATTTGGTATATGCTTTCTCTTTTCAGAAAGGATGGGCCTTTGAAAATTTAGTAATATTTATGGTTTAGACATTGACCTTCAGGTTTTTTCCCCATAGTGATGACAGTTTTTACTACTACCTTTGACTGCAGCTCCTAATTCTCTTGTACGAGAGGTGTTAGAGAAAACGAGCACCAAATTCTCCAGAACAATTGACATTTAGAGGCATAAGCAGGTGTCAGGCAAATAAAGCCTTTAAAGATCTGAGTTTTATTGCAGGGAGAACCTGTCATAGACCTCTACTATGAATACAGGCTCTGATATGTTGGTTGATACATTCTAAAGCCACTGCCTCAGAACATATTGAAGGTCTGACTTAACCTAAGTAATTTTCACATTAAAACTTGGTGTAGTCTCTATAGTGATTTCCATTCAGGTACAATTTTAAGGTTTTATGAGTTCTGCAAATCAGAACAGATCCTTGCAACTTAGTTTCTGTTAACTAAGCATATGAAGTGTTATCATTGCAACTTTAAAGCTTACAATAGCATGCTAATTGATGCTCAGCCTTAAATTCAGCCCTTTAGAGAACAGTATGTTAAATGTGCTATGAGATGTAATCCTATGTCAAAGTTCAAAATTTTGTAGCACACCTTCATAATTATATATAATTAACAGAGCATGAAAAAGAAACTTACTATAAAGTGGATAAAATCAGAGAAAGCTGATATAACTCCGAAGAGTACCTAGACTTCAAAATACCACACTGATAGGGAATTACCAACTTCTACATTGCATGAATGTAGATTCAGTGCATGTAGCAATAGCTCTTGACAAAATGCAAGACGTAGCAATGAAGCTTACCATATTCCTAGAAAGACAATATTGTCTGGTTTTCATAATAGTATTTATTTTCATGAAGCCTTTGGAGTAGAGTACCAACTCAGGTTGGTGTATGTCCAGATTTTCTCAAATGGATGTATTTTTTTTTACTGATAAAAAGGAGATTAGAAACTGACTCTTTTTGTTCATAGATGTTGTTTTCCCCTTATGTTTATTATGATACCAATCGAACAAACAAAAAAAATGGTCAAATTGTAGATCTTCTAGACTTTCAGTTTCCCTCTGGGATTAACATGACATTGAACAAGCTGTTCTTTCAAAATCTGCTTATCAAAACCATTTTTTTCAAGTGTTTCCCATCAGCAGGA